GGGTCTAATAAAATATTTATTTAAAATATATAAAAAAATATACTGCCTTTAGAGATGGAAAGTCAGAATTGGGTCTTTACTAAGAGGAACCAAAACTTGATCTTGAGAAGTTTCAAGAGATGATGTTGTCGTGTATTGGAAGAACCATTCTAGAAAATATCCCGATCTTTCAATAATGGTGCGTGATGTACTTAGCATTCTTATTACCATTGTACCACCGGAATCAACATGTAGCATTAGTGGCGTGTTCTTACAAGGTACAGAAATTGCATTTATTATGAAAATGTTCAAACACTTGTTACTACTTGAAATTGGTTGCACAGGTTTTCCCGAACTCAAACTGGTAATATTTTTTTATGTGAATTTAAATATTATTAATTTTTAAAATTTAATTATTTTTAATATTTAACTAATTAATATTGCATATGAATTGTAGATGAAAGTGAAGATGTTAAGACAACCTTGTCACAAGCGGATTCAAATGTGTTTGATGAAGATGATGGGTTGGATATCTCATAAGCATCATGAACGTTCTTTTGAATAGTTTGTTTTAAGTTTTGACTTTTAGTGAATGAAATATAGTCCTGCCTTTTACTTTTTTTAGTATTTATTGTAATATATTAGAACAATATGAACAGTTATTAAGTTTTGCGAATTTTTTCCAATAAGATATTTTTTAACTTTTAAATAATTATCTTTTTTTAGGTCAGAACTTAAAGAAAAATATAAAATTATATTTTTAAAAATGATGGGCCGGCCTGTGGGGGCCCGCGGCTCACATAGGACTAGGGTGTGCTGACCATTATAAGGCCCATCAAAATGGTGGGCTAGCCCAGCCCGTCAATTGCTAAAGTCCACGTAGACTGGACTGGGCTGGGCTAGCCCGGTCCGACCCATATTGACAGCTCTAGAAAAAAGCATATAAAACTATCTAAAGTGAACATTCAAAAAGATAAATTTTCTCAATTTTCGTTTAACTTTGATTTGACAAACTAATTTTAATATGTTCATTTGTTAGAAAAAAGTTTTGAATTTTTTATTCAAATTTGTCAAGTTGATTAAATGGTGGCGGTATTGGCCTCACAACAAGTCATTATACTAAATCTATAATATATCTATGTACTAGTTTAATGGTGGGAAGGAAAGTGATGTTCTAAAATTCCAATTATACCTCTGCCATGCTTGTTTCTTGCTCTGTTTAGCCAATATATAGCTAAAATTTTATTCTAAAGTATATTAAGTACTCGTTAAGGTCAAATTAATACTGTACGGCCAATTTTTTTAGCTGTGGTATTTGGGTCAGTTCGCACATATCTCGACTAATTCCCCGAAAGATTTACTACATCACACTAGTATCAGCATCGGGTGACTCTATCTATCAAATCTTGGACAAATATGAAGAAATTACTTAGTATTTTTTACCTCCACTGAAATTTAAACTTAAAATTTTATAGTAGTCTGCAACCTATTTTATTGACCACTAAACAATATCATCTGATGCATTAGCCCAAATTATGTTAGGTCATGTGCTAAAAAATAGTTTAAAGGATGCCGAGTGGTTGTTAAAGCCAAATTACAAAGTGTCTATAAACTAAATAGAATTACATAGGATATCAGCGGGAGAAATTTAAAAATAGCCAGATTTACAAGTGGTCATTTAAAAATAGCCAAAATTTCAAAAGTAATCGAAATTTAGCCATTTTTTATGTAAAAATAAATCTGAACGAAAACATTGTTCAAAATCTGAAAAAATACTTCAGCATAATATACTGCAGTTCCAGTATAATATATCGGTCCAGCATAATATACTGGGGTTTGGAGCACCGGTGATCCAGTCTCCAGTATATTATACTGGAGCCAGCAAAGTATACCGGCCCAGCATAATATGCTGGAAGTTCATACACAGGTGTACCGAACTCCAGTATATTATGCTGGATCGGTCTCTGTTGCAGCAAAATAGTGATTATTTTTCAATAACTTGGCAAACACTGACTATTTTTGAATGACCGGTCCGAAAACTGGCTAGACCGTGCTATTTTAACGATATCAGCACCACTAAAAGCTGCGATGAAGAAGTGCTAGAGTGATAATTCCCACAACAAAAATGGAAGTCAAATCGAAGAAATATAGTAAGATATGTACATCAGATTATGGTAAGAGTCAATGTCACGTATGATTACTAGAGTTTATTCACTTTAATAAATCACAAAATTGTTTTATGAATTGTTCAGCTAGGGTCATACTAATTAGTAAAATAATACCTCAGATGCGATAAAGGTTAATTTCATGTATAATCATTAAAATTTACTCAATATAATGTAATCGAAACGTTTAATTTGTGAATTATTCAGAAAATACAAAGGTTTAGAAGGTTAATTTTTTATGCCATGTTGTGAGCATATTTCAGGGTTAAATTATGTTAGGCTATGTGCTATATAATAGTTTTAGAGGAGCTCAAATGATAGCTTAAGCTAAATTGCAAGTGCCTATGAACTAAATAGGTAAAAAATTACACCCAGTAGCCAGTCATAGGATCAATTTTTGATATATAACCAGCATTTGAATGTAGTTGAGAAATAGTTAGTTTTTAGTTAAAAAGACTTTTCTGCCCTTATCTTCTTCAAGTGAGAAGGCAGGGACCCGCTTCTTTATCTTCCACTTTTTTCGAACTTTAAGTAAGCGTTTGGAGTCTTTGAACATAAGAATTGTAAAATTTAAAAAAAAAAAATTAAGTGAAAATGGTACTCCCTTCGTTCCAAAATAAGTGATTTTTTGGTCTTTTTCTTGTGGTCCAAAATAAGTGATTTTTTCAGATTTCAAGAATGAATTAATAATTTTTTCCTATATTGTCCTTGGAGTAAATAGTGTTGGAATATGTGTTAGGAGTATTTATGTGAGATAGTAAAGGTTAATATGATCAATTCCATTGCTAATTAATGCTAAAAGGTGGATTTCTTAATCTGTGTGAAAACATCTAAAAAATCACTTATTTTGGACCGGAGGGAGTATTTGAAAATTAGAGTTGTGTTTGGACATGAATATAATTTTGGGTTATTTTTGAAGTTTTGTGAGTGAAAATAAAAACAGCTTTTTGGAGTTTTTAAAATTTTCGAAAAATTCCAAAATTTATCTTCAAGTGAAAATTAAAAATTTTATGGCCAAACACTGATTTCGAAAAAAAGTGAAAATTCTTATATCCAAACGGGTCTAAGAATTCAAACTTCTATAAGTGAAACTCCAGACTACTATCCTAGAGTCTGGATTTCAGCTCTAATAATTTAGGAAATTTTACCACCTATAGAATAGGTTAGTACCCTATTTATATTAAATAAATACCATTTTAAAATATTACATCCTATAAATACCTTTTATAGTTTATAGCAAAAAATCTAAATATAGTTCCATCCTACAATTAAGGCACCATATATGCTACAAAATATTTTTCTCTTATTTTTTATATTTTCTCTCACCTAATTAGCGTTATCTCCTCTGACCAGCTTTTCTCTCTCTTCTTTCATACACTTTACCCTCTTCTTCCACAAACCTACGTTTCATAAATCTTCTCCCACCCTAAATCTCTATTTCTCTGCCATTGTCACCTCTACTCTCTTCTCCCACATACCCACGTTACTCAAATTCTTTGTCCTCTCTGTATTTTCACAGCATAATCAATCTTTATTATTATTTGGCATACAAAAACAGATCTATAAAACAACAAATTTCAGCAAGAAAAACGGAAGAAATATAGAGATAGAGAAAGTAGAGGAGAAAGAGATCTAACCGTCCATCTCAACGATAGGGTTTTCAACCTTGATTTTGTCGAAAGCCATGTTTACAGATGAAAGAGGTGAAACTGTATTCACATGTATTCAGCAACATTCATTTATATATTTTAGATGTATTAAAAAGTTGTGATTATTCTCTTGTATTCAGTTGTAATTAACTATTTTATTCAGCAATACTTAGTTGTATTCAAGTGTTTTATACAACTGTATTCAGTTGTATTAAGTTGTAGTTAGTTATATTCAACTATTTTATTCAGCAGAAGTTAGTTGTATTTTGTTGCATTCAAGAGTTTTATTCAATTGTATTTTGTTGTATTCAATAGAAAAAAAGGAGAAGAGAATTGAGAAGTTCGATCAGATGTGTTGCTCTGGTTTCTCCTTCTTTTCACGTTTTTGAGTTGCTTTCTTTGAGCAAAATACAAATTAGTGTGTACTCCTTTTAGTTCTTTGAGTTAAATTAGGAGACTATCATGTGATTTGATTTTCTTTCGTTTTTAACAAGTTTAAGTTCCCAGAATTTGCGCAAAAAAGTTACTATATTTCACTGAAATTTTGCTTGAATACAGTTAAATACAGCTGAAATTTCGCTTGAATACAGTTAAATACAGATAACACTTAGCTGGATTTCCCGTTTTTACGCCTATTTTTTTTCTTGTATTAATGAATACAACTGTTTAAATACATGAAATACATTGTATAAAAACATAAAAGATATCTATAGAGCGTAATATAGCAAAAGGCATCTATAAATGGCTAATTAGGACTAAAAGATGGTGCTTTGTGAAAAATTCTCAATAATTTATGACATATTACTTGCCATGTTGGCACAATATAAATCATTTAGTTCTAGAAAATTTCCAAATTCAACTCGAGTGATTTATCGTTATTCGTTACTTTTATATAGTAGATGTTGATATAATGAATAGCTTAATCCTCATCTCACGAAAATTAGAATTAGGTTATATTTGTAATTTCTAGACCACCAACGACTGTGATTAGATGCATATGATCTTTTTATCCTTAACCAAAAATTCCAGTTTCGAGTCCTAAGAATGAAAAAGAATATGATAGAAAGCGCTTTCCCTCGGTCCACGGACCTTACGCGACGTGAATCTTGATTATCGGAGCGACAACGTGAATATCGAACACGGAATGGAAAACCACAAAAAAAAAAAAAAAAAAAAAAAAGACAATTTCTAGTACCAGAAAAGAAAGAGACATAAAGGAACAACATTCTTATTGATTGGTAATAGTCCATAATCAAGTACTATCTCATTTTTTAGACAGATACAACAAATTCAGCAGCACCATTAATACCATTCTCATGATGATGATTATGTACCATTTTGCCCTTTTCATCATGAGAAATTACAATATCAAGATTGTAAAGCACAGTGACCAAACTAATAGAACACAAGAAAACCAACACAGGTCCAAATATCCAAAGTACAAGTGTTAATGCTGCATAGAACAACCTATTCGCCACTGCGTTCAAAATGAAGCTCTTTTCAAGTAATTCACAGATGTATTCAATGCTCACTATTCCAAAAATATCTTCTGGACAATTGATTAGGAAATTCACTTGGTTTATGAACCTAATTGATATGGAATAACAAATGAATGAGAAGAGGAAAATTAGCAAAAGTGTCACATATTTTAGTGCCACCATAAATTCTCCATGACCCCCATAAACGGCGTCGTTTAAGGGTTTTTTAACACTATAAGTGCTGCTTATTACTGCAGCTAGGCCAGAACAAAGAAGGATTGATGTTGTGGCCATTAGAGTTGATCCCATTATTGTGTTTCTGAATGTTTGAACTGCCAATATGTTTTTCTTGTCATTGTCCTGCAAAACCAGAGTTTAAGTTATATGTATTGACGGTGTAAAAAAATATTTATGTAATCACGTTAATTACCATAAGATAATGAATTTAATTTATACGCATTAAAGGGTAGCCAGGTGCATTAGGCATCCCGCGTTTATATTCATGGTCCGGAGAAGGGCCACACCCCAAGGGGCCGGGTCTAATGTAAGCAGTCTACCCTAATGCAAGTATTAATGGACTGCTTGAACCCCCGATCAGTAGGTCACACGGAGACAACTTTACTATTGCTCCAAGATTTTCCTTCTTAATATTTATACCTTAAAAGAGTAAAAGAAGTTTTACAATATTAAATTGATTAAAGGTTAATTACAGGTACAATCAGACCTCTCTATAACAAACATTCTCTATAACAACACTTCATTATAATTGTCAAATTTTCTTTGGAAGCAATTTTTTATGTTATATTATGACATATGTTTTTTATAATAGTACTTCACTATAGCAGTGAAACAAACGAGGTTGTTATACAGAGATCGTGTGATTGTATTTGTCCATAGAAGTATGTACGATTAATAAGTAAAGAATAAGTCGTGTTACTTGCTACAACATATCAACATGACCTAACTAAAAGATAAAACATAGGGGCGCAGCTAATGCTCCGCTTACGGGTTTGGCCGAACCCAATAGCTTTTATATCGCAGACTCTGTATTTATCTTGTGAAATTCATGGAATATGTACAAATTATTAGTTTTAAATTCAATAATTTAAAATAATTAGAATCTTAAACCCATAAGCTTCAAATTCTGACGCCGTTTTTGGTAAAACATGTTACTTGCTATAACACGTCGTTAGTTCTTCTTTTGTCAAGAGAGAACAAAAGGGGGAAATTGGGTTAGTGAGGAGAAAACGACTGCTTATTACTATGTAAAACTCTTTATGCATGCACGTGGTTGTTTATCTTAAAATTGCTAAAATAGACAAAAGAGTACTATAGAGTTTCATCTTATTTCATCTATTTATAGTATTAGAGAGACGTTATGGTTTTATCATGTAACAACCCTAACAAATTAAACCCTCTTTCCCCACAAAAGAGAAATAAAAACATAAGCAGAGACAATTTAATTTTCTATCCTTTTCCCTTTTATTTCTTCTCTCTCTCACTTCCATTTAAGATAGTACGTACGTACCCTTTTTATATATATATATATATATATATATTCAACTTTTCATAAAGTAGGTGGAAAATGATTTTGAAAGGACACATAACCATTTGAGAAACAAAATGTTGTCTCGCTATTGCATTCAGTTCAAATGCATATACGCTAAATGCAAAATGGCCATTAATTAAGCTATGGTCCACTATAAATCAACTTTTCACTTGATGACAAGGAAGGAACTATATATGGTTAAAAGAGAGTTCAATTGAATTTTTTTCGTCGAAAATTTATTTGGTAAAAATAGAATAAAAAATTATTTGGCACAATCAGGTATAAATATTGGGTGCGAAATTTTTATATAATTTTGAATTCCCTCGTTAAATTGCCCGATTCGCCATGCATGCACCCCCTCTCCACCCAAACGAACGAAAAGCTTTCAACAAAGAAAATAAAAACTCAAGATGGCCGAGAGAACAAAAAACAGAAAAAGAAAAGAAAAAAGAAGAAGAAAAACATGCTAAAAGATATTAACTATGATCTTGTAGATGAGCAAAAATAAAACAAACTTGACTATTCCGTTTTGAATAGTCAAGACGTAAGAGCACTCGTTTTGAGTTCACTAACTTTAAATTCTGATTCCGTCTATATAACATTATAACTTTGATATATCTTCAGAAAAACTTCTGGACATAAGGGACCAAACCTTATAAACCACTAAAACACCAAATCTACACAACCAACTTAATTAAAGAGATTGGAAAGAAAGAAACAAAACAGACAAAAGAATTGAGAAGAAGAAGAAGAAGAATTAAGGAGTAATTATATATACCTTCATAATGGCAGAAACCCATACACGTCTTCCATTAGCATTGGTTCCAATAATAGTATTAAAAGGTTGAGTTTTAACCTTATGCCATAACCAAATATGATATCCCATACATATCATAAACCCTAATGGAACTAATATTACATCCAAATAACACTTCCTCCATTCCATTTTTCTTTTTTCACACTGTTTGTTTCTCTGTGTGTGTGTGTGTTTTCCCCCCTTCTGATGATGATATTAATGGAGGAGGATTTATAAGTTTCACCTTTCTACTTCAATGGGTTTCTGTGCTAGCAAGCAATATATATAGGTATACTTTAAGTTCTATGTATGTCCACTGATGACATAAATATATTTACATACATTCTCAGTGTACCCAAAAAAAAAAAAAAAAAAAGCAGCCCGGTGACTTATTGGTCATAGAGAGACAACTTTACCTAATTTATCAGTATATATGTAACTTAAATCTCATAAATAAATACATATGAGTTTAAGTTTTATGCACTGATGGAGGAAAAAATATTTACATAATCATGTCACTTATAAGATAATTACAGGCAGGTGGAGCCAGGGATTTAAAGTTTAACTTGTTACTGAATCCACATTTGCTTTAAGTATTGAGCTCATAACTAAATATTTATATGTATTTAATGAATTTCCTAATAAAAATATAGGACCTAACAAAAAGTTATTGAGTTCGTCTAATCCCGTACCTAATATTGTAGCTTCACCTCTGATTATAGATAAATCCCTTTATAAACATTAATATAGTAACCTAGTAAAAAAAATATAACTAACTTAGGCTTGTTTGAAGCAATATCCCAAATGAAAGGGAAAAAGGGCTTGCGGATTTTAAAAAAAAAAAAAAAAAAAAAAAAAAAGAAGGTAATTTTCCACTTCGTATTAAATTAGAGTATCCATACAAAGGCACATTACACATACATTTCTTTAGCAGTTCTATTTTTTATTCTCGTCAATTTCGTAGCCTCAATGTTAAAGATTTCCTTATTAAAATGTAATGAAATGTAACTTTACCCACCAAACTTTGTACTTACTAATAATCATTTTTCAATAAATACATATTAAACCTAATAAATATTTTCGTTAATTAGGATAGATTCAAGATTAACGGAAGTTTGATTTTGGTAAACTTCAAATAATTCCTGAGCCCAGTGTCTATCAGAACAGCCTCAAGGTAAGAGTAAAAATTGCGTACATACTATCCTCCCCAGACTTCACCTATAAGATTACACTGGATTTATTGTTATTATTATTATTGTAATACAATTCCTTTTGGTTTGACAGATTTTTATTCAACTGAAAACTACACCCAAATGATAGGAAGATGTGGAGGTCGAGTATTAAGGTTGTAGGTTAGGAGGTAGTCGAGTCTCACTACTAGAAATTCGGTAAAAAGCAACCACAAAAAGCGACCAAAGTTGGTCTCTTATAGGCCTAAAAGCGACCAAACATGCTTGATCGCAATATTGCTGGTCCCTTTATTTTAGGGATCAAAGTTGGTCGCTAATTAGCGACCAACTTTGGTCTCTAAGGTAAAAGGACCAAATATTCCGGGTAAAGACTATAGCGACCAACTTTGGTCGCTTTATTATTTTAATAATATAATTTTGGCGACCAAAGTTGGTCTCTAAATGTAAAATACGTTTTTTTATTTATTAAAAATCATAAACAGCGACCAACTTTGGTCTCTAATCTAAATATTATATTTTAAAATCTGGAAAATAGAGACCAAGATTGGTCGCTTTTTTATTAATTTTTTTTAAAAATAAGCAACCATAGTTGGTCGCTAACTTCAAGAAATAATTTTTTTTTTTAATTATAAGAGACCAACTTTGGTTGCTATATTTTCAGAAATTATTTTTTTATAAATGGAATAGCGACCAAAGTTGGTCACTTTTGAGAAATCTGTGTTAAATAGCGACCAAGGTATTGCCCAGAAAATTATTTTTTTTTAAGGGAAAAGCGACCAACTAGCGACCAAAGTTGGTCGCTTTTCTTGGTATATTTTTGGCAGAAACTGCCTGTTTTGGCAGCTACACCACCTGTCAGCTTACCAAAAATCCTAAACAAGCATTTTATGCCAACAACAACAACAACAATAAACAACAACAACAACAACAACAACAACAACAACAACAACAACAACAACAACAACAACAACAACAACAACAACAACAACAACAACAACAACAACAACAACAAGCAACAAAGTATAAAGTTCAATAGAACTAACACATTAATCTAACAAAACTAAGTTAACGCTTATTACAAGCCCATTCGAAAACTGGTTCTATTGTCTAGTTCAAAGTATATAAAGTACTCAAGGAGTGTTCTTTCAGCATCCTCGTCCGAAAGTTGGATTGTCTCGCCCGACTCATTAGGTGGCTGACTGCGTATGAATTCCCCCACATCAGCTGTGAAGCGAACCTATAAGAAAAATTATATTGAATTAGTATTTCAAAATTTATATAAAAGTAAATTAAAATACTAAGTATTAGTGCATAAGCTAATCTCAGTATACCTTTGACTAAGCAAGTCTGACCAGTCCGGTCAATGTTTTGACGAAATTAGCAACCAAGTAGTGACCAACCTTGTTCGCTAATGTATATCAAATAATTATTTTATTATTTTCGCCAATTTAGCGACCAACTTTGGTCGCTTTTCTTGACATACCAACTTTGGTCACTAAAGTTTGGTCGTTTTTTTCTGGAATTCTAGTAGTGTCTTGCCTTATTTCGTACCTTTGTGAGACTAGTTTGGTAGGATTTTTGTCTAAAATAGTTAGTGGCAATGTTGTGCCTTACTATTTCGTCTTTCAGTGCAGGGCCTATTTACTAGATATCGTTTTTGCTTTGCATCTTTCTTCTGGATTTCATGTTGTTCCTATTCTTCCTATGATTTCCGTGGTGATTCTAATATTGTCTCCTTTTGTCATTTTGTTTTCTTGAGCCAAGGGTCTTTCGTAAACAGCCCCTCTACTCTTTCGGGGTAGGAGTAAGGTCTTTGCGTACACACTATCCTCCTCAAATCGCACTAGTGGGATTTTACTGGATTGTTGTTGTTGTTAATGGTTGAAAACTACACCCAAAGGAGAATCACAAGCTCGCAACTCGACGAAGTAAAAACTTTTAGCATGTTGAAACTTTTTTAAGTTAGCAATGAAAGAATCCAAAATAGTATCAAAAGAAATGATATAAGCAATCATTTGTTTAAAAGAAGAAAAGAAATCATTTTTAAGATGTACAATCACAAATGACGAGAATTTGTTCTTCAGAAGTACGTTTAGTGGTTCATGGTTAAATCTGAGTCATTATTATTGATCATGATTGATAAAGTTACTAAATCATTGGAGTAATTACCCATCTAACGAAATAATTCTTAACATAGGGCCACGTATAGTCTTAAAATAGTAAGTAATAATATTGAATTGTTTGTTGCTATATACTATACAGGTAAAAGGAGAAATTCAATGTATCAATACTAAATTTCTTGTTAAATATATGGCACAACTAAATAGTTCCATATAATTTTACTACTTCTGTCTCCTTATTTCTCAAACTTACATATCACCTAACTGATCATAAGTATCATGCAATATGATGGTTGATTTTTTTTTTCCTGATTCGACGCTCGGTATCTACATTGGAGTTCCGACTAATTTGAATTCGCGTAGCGTAACCCATTAAAGTGGAAAATGCTTCTTATCACAATTTTTTAATTTTCATGGTTCGAATCCGAAATTTCAGCTAGTTAATGGATAAAGAATCATATCCATCTCATCATAACTATTGATAGTAGTACGATGGTTGTATTGCTCTCTCATAATTTCGTTTTCACGGTTTAAATAGCTTCCATTTTTATTCAATAATTGTACCATAAAAATTGTTTTGCACTTCCAACACTCTATACGAGCCTTCACTTATCAATTAATTTATCTTTATATTATATCATAATATACAAGTAATTTATAATTTGCGGGTTGATGTTGAACAATATAGATAAAGAAACACCAATATAGAAAGCAAAGAGACCTAACTATATTCTTAGAGACCTAATTTGCTTAGCAAAATGCTGAGTTGAATTCCACTAAACAGGCCAAAAATATTAAAATAATTAAACTTCATCAAATAAAGTAAATATAAGAGATTTCCCTTATAGAATGGATTTTGCGAGACGAAACTATAGTCTTCATAGGCAACACACATGTATGCCACTATATTAACCATACCATATAAATTATAATAACGTGTAAGGGTCAAATTGGCTATTCGAGTTGTTAAAGTTTGCTTATCTTTGTATTCACATTATATACGTGAACATTGTCTATTTATACGTGTACGATTTAAGTTTTATATATATGTGTTTGCCCTAAAAATTGAGTAATAATTACACTTGTAATGTGGTTTTAAGGATATGTGATTTCACCTAATACCATTAATTTAGAGATAAGTGATGGAATTGACAAGAATATGAAACAAACCGATGTTTGGACAGCGTCATCGAGCTGATGAACCCTTGAGAATAGTAAAGCAAGAACTGTTAAAGAACGATAAATTGATGAACAATTAAATAAATATTGTATTGCCTTTATCAGTATGAATGTAATGTGTTTACAAATGATTGGGATCCCTCTTTATATACTAGAGGAATCATAATTGTGGTACAATTCTAATTACGGAAGTAAATCCCATGATTGATATAAATAAACGCCCTTGATTTAATCTGCTCCGGGATTTCTGCCGTTATCTCCGACCAATTACGGATATTTTGCCCTTCCGTTATTGCATTTCACTTGATGTCGGTCATACTTAGTCTCGATTGCTGCTGGCCTCGGTCTCAACGAACACTTCGATATTTGGACTCGATGCCTCGTCTTCGAGCTCGGGCCTGATTCATTATGAGATTATCCCCGATGAAGCTCCTTTGTTTCGATCAAATAGCAAAATCAGGTAGGTCTGATTTCGATCGTATACAGATAGTCCCATCGTTTCTTAGAGTGTAATGAGAAGAACAAACTGACCCTTCGATTTTGCACCTCGACTAAGTATGATGTCACCCTCGTGACGTAAGCGACGGAGGTGACTGAAGCGGCGCGTCTGCATAGTTCTCAAGATCATTAATTGGTGCCAGTTGATGGTTGGCCACTAATACTTTTGAACCGTTATGGATAACATTATAAATAGACCCTCCTCATAATTTTTTCAAACTTTACTTTCAAAACTTTTCTTAATCTTCAAAGCTCTCCTACTTCTTTCAAGTTACTC